ATGACTATTAATCAGCATCATGGTATCAAGGTCAAGGGATTAAATGACCTTAAAAATATACTTGATGTCACAAGGGAAATCAAATTTTATTTTGTTATGCCACCAGAATGTTTTGATGGAATGAAAAAGCAGCCATTTCATACCAGAAAAGGGGAAGATTCAAAAAAACCACCATCCTGGATTAAGAATAAAGTAAAACAATATGTTCTCAAGATTAACTTGGCATCTAATTATAAATCTTAAAATCAGTGGTATGAAATAATAGATAAAATGGATAGACTATTGTTGTTTTGGAAGAAAATTCTTTTAGTTATTATAAAGATGCAATTCTCTTTTAATTTTATCAAAAACCATTTTTATTATCTATCATAAAATTGTTCACTTTATTTTTTTTTCCTAAGATTATCACCAAATATCCAGTATCTGAATAAAGCATTTATGTAACCGTTTTTTCAACAATAATAACCACTTATCCAAGAAAAGGGAGGAGTTTAACTCTGAACTTTCTTCAAAATATTAATCTTATGTCCCAACACTCATCTTTATTCCCTATAAATATGTGATTTTTAAAATTTTTCTGGCAGATCAATTATTCAATAAAAAACCTACAAAGTGAACATAAAATTATATATATATAGGGATAAGTGTATATGAAAAGTAATAATAAATATAATGGTTCTAATGAATATGAAAAGGCAATTGATTATTTAAAAAAAGGATGTAATTGTAGTTGTTCTTCAAGAATTCTCAAGGAGCAATTTGCAGAATTAAGGAATCTTTTCAAGCTCTTTCCAAGTCTGAACAAGACATATTTTTAGTAGGGATAAAACATATTTTCTGATGCACTTTTTTGCTCCAGCATCATACTTTTTGATATAATAGCTCCAAATTTAATTTTGAGCAATTCTAGATTATTTAAAAAAATTTGATGTAAGATTAAAATGCATTTGCATCATACCTTGAAGTGCAATTGGTTTTCATTTGTGTCATACTTTTTATAAACACCTAGATTTTTTAAATGTATCTACATAAGCTTAATTTATTTCTAGGACCTTAATTTGCAATACAATAAAATTATACTTGCTTCATAATTTTTTTATATATTTACAGTCAACACTCAATATAGTGAACCTACTATATAGTAAATCATACAATATAGAACAGGAGGGAACGTCCTATATAAGGAATGGATTTTCACAATTGATTTCAATTTTTTTTATACAGTTTAAAATACT